AATAATTTAAAAAAATCAATAAAAAGTTAAACCATCATGATAAAGTTATAAAATACATCAAATGCTGCACTAAACAATGTTATTTGAGTTGTGTGGGTGATGCCAGCACCGTTTACAATTTAATATTAATTATATATATATTAAAATATCAAATCATAGATAAGAGAATTACAAAAATAATAATCTAAAATGACTTGGATCCATAACAGAAAGAATTTATGTTTTAAACGCATTTAAATAATTGACATGCATAAAAAAAAAAAAAAACCCAAACCTAACCTTGGCCGCTAAGAACAAAATCATTCGCACATTGAAAGCCTGCCCTCTTTTATTATAGAGTAATAAAAGTGTTACATTGACATTGCTATCATCTTCTTTTCCCCCACGGTTGGGCAAGATGTCCCCGAAAGATACAAGAGGTAGCACAGAGATACTAGCTAGCTAGTGCAGACATGTGATATTTTGCCCTTTTTCGAAAATCCAAACGACAACTTGCTATTACTTTAAAACAAAAAATCTCAACATAAAAGCCACGAAGTCCCATATGAACCCGCAGTAACTGTGCATAATGATGGAATTCCTAGGCATTTTAGCACCTCGCGATGCATCTGCCCAATGACAATGACCCCAAAAACTAAGAATGCAGTGCTTTCGATTCATGGAGGGCGGGCGTACGATTGTTTTCCTTATAGGCTTATAGCTTAGACAGTCTCCTGGCAACAAATTCTTTGACCTCCGAGAATAATTTTGAAGACTCGGGCAGCTCCGGGAAGATATAAAAGGCGTGAAACATATTTGAATACTCAATTAAGGTAGCCTCTTTCCCGGATCTCTTTAACCACTCATAATACCTCCTTTGCCAATCTTTTAACGGGTCGAACCCACCAACAATCACAATTGTATCCGGAAAATCCAAATCCGAGATGTTCTCGGCATTCGGTCCGCTCACATTCACTGCATAGTGATCCCGGTCCGATCCGTCAGGCAAAAACACTCTCCAGCACCAATCGGTTCGTTCCACAGTCACGAACGGGTATCCAACCAGTTGGAGTTCCGACTCGGTCCTCTCTTGCCCGCCAAAATACGGCTGAATGGAAACCAGTCCAATTACCTTAACATTCTGAAACCCAGCCCGACAAGCCCGAACCGCAACGTGATGGGCCAAATTTGCCCCGGCACTATCTCCAACCAGAAAACACTTAGACAAGTCTGCATTAGGTGGCAGTAACCCACTGGCTCGATCGTTGTCTAGGAACCGAAGCACCTCAAAACCATCATCGTATTGACAGGGAAATCGATGTTCTGGCGTAAGACGGTAATTAACTGAAAGAACAATAGCAGGAAATATACGTGCAAACCTGCGACAAACGGCGTCGTACGAACTTGTCGCGGCACTTAGGAAAGAAAACCCACCTCCATGAAAAAATACCACAACAGGCAAAGAGGCAGTGTCGGTACCGTCAACCCCGCTATTTTCCGGGGTGTAGAGGCGGAACCAGAGGTTGCTGGTGGGGTCCACGGTGATATCAGAAGAGATGATGGAGCGAATGGGTTTTTTAGGGGAAGGAGAGGACTTGAAGTCAAGGAGATTAAGCAAACGTCTGTTTATGGTGCCGTTTGAACGTCGTGACAGATCTGTTGCCGCTGAGATCATTGTAAGGACCAGTCGTGTCCTCCATGGGATGGCTAGTTTTGCGGGCACTGGTGTTTCACTGCTCATGTTTACGAAGATAGAAGAAGGAAAAGAGTGAAAATAAGAAGATGGAAGACTAATTGAAGGTTTGTTGAAGGTTTTTAATAGCTGAATTTCTAGCGTAGAGTATGGATTAGCTCTTGGTTGGTCATGGAGGGGCAATGGCATGAGAAAAGTTATAACAGCCAAGTTGTCAATTTGGTTCCATTTTGTTTGGAATAGCTGAAATATAATATACCAATTAAAAAAAATAGAATTATTTTTATGTTATTTCAATTCTTGTTTTGTTCTATATTTTTCAAATAAATTTTAATATGAATATTTTAATTTTATTTCCATTTTATATTTAAAAAAAAATTAAATTAAATTGAACTTAGTTCAATTTAATTAATTAAACCACCCAAATATAAACTATATAAAACTCTCTTTTATTATTATTTTCAATAACAATAATATTAATAATAATATTAAAAATAATTATTATTATTTTCATTAACAATTATATTAATTTTTTAAAATTAGATTTATTACCAATATATATGATTTACATTCATGTTGTTTTTTTCATGTTTATACCTTGTTAGAATTCAAGTAAAATAAAAGATGCTTTAGATCTCATTAGCCTAAATAACATTGACTTATTGAATGAATGGATTTAGCTTTCTTGATGAAGAGGATATAAGTTGAGAGACTATTGAATCACCTTTGTCTACTTGAATCTTTGAGGATAAAAAAATATTTTTTTATGACGAGAATGAACTTGTTGAAAATAATCAACTATTGAAATGTTTAGTTGATGACATACTCCACATACCATAACAAGATCAAGATCGTTATTTCTATTTTAATGATGGAGATGATATTTGATTTATGTTTTTTTTTTGTTAAAACATTTTACTTTCATAATATTTTGATATTTTGTTTAAGTTGAATTACTTTCCGTTAAAGTTCTATTTAATCTTGAATATTTAAAAATATTTTAAATTTTAAAATTATATTTTAACATTGTGTTTGTATTGCATAATTTATAATTAATTTATTTTCAATCTGAATTAAGTTTGTTGATTTACACACATACACACATGAACAATACAACCCTGAAACTTGCTATCAAAACGTTTCAAAACCAAAATATTCCATTCAAAGTGAAAAAACAAAATACTTATCGAAATAGAATTGACAACCTTGATAACAGCAGATGAAAAGGATCGATTAACTTTTTTATTGTCGGAATTTAAAGTTAGTGTTTTTTTTTATTTTATTTGAACGGTGTATTTCAATTTTATAGCATTTCAATGCATCATATATATATATATATATATATATATTCATCAAAATAATTTCAATTTAAATTCAAAGATAAATTAACTTGAAATTATACAATTTAAATTTAAAACACAAGTAAAAAAATAAGAGCTAAACATATATGATCTAATTGACTTAATAAATCTAAAAACAACATGGACGACTAGTAAAAATATAATTTGAATAAAGAAAAATTTAAGATGACATGTTTTTTTAAGAAAATTTTTGAGACGACAACATATTCGATCGATCCAGATCAACTTGGGTCAATTTTCTAAATCTACAACCTAATTCATAAGATTATAATAACCCCAAATAAAATAAATCAAAATAAATTATGAAGTTAAGTTCTGAATAAAGCTATTGTTAAATAATAAAATTAAAAAAAATTCAATCTAAAAAAATGACAAAAAAAACATTTTAAAACAAAATTACTAATTTGAATAAAATTATAAAAATAATATTAACAGTCTTGCAAAACCTTTCTAAACTCCTATTGCCCTAAACTTTTAACTTGAGATATAATAATATATTTTAAGATTTCTTGAAAAATGTCAGTCTAATCTAACAATTAGATTAAAAGATATAATTGATGCTGTAAAATTAAACAATATTTTTTAAAAAATATATTATTTGGCCTAAAAGGAACAACTGGAACATAACTAAAATGTTCTAGCAAAAAATTTAGACAGAATTTATAGAAAGGATTGAAATTTTAAGCGAGATAAAATATGTATAGCTTGTTTTGTTTTTTAAACAGGAATGAGATATAACAACTATCCCAAACAAAAAGAAAAAGAATTGACAATCTTGACCTATATGGATTGACTTTCTATTTTAACATTTTCTGCTTAGTCCATAATGAAAATTGATGCCTTTTGTTTTTTTGTTTTCATTTTTAATTATTTTTTTTTTATTTTAGTTTGTTAATGTTAATTTTTTTTTTAGTTATTAGATTTTCATGACACGGATCCCGGATTTGACGAGTTAACCTAGATTTTTTTTTGCTTTTTTTAAAATTTGACGAGTTAACCCAGAATTTGTTTTTTGATTTTTTTCTTTTTAATTAATTTTTTTTGTTTAGTTTAGTTTTTTAATGTTAAATTTTTTTCTATTTAATTATCAGACTTTCATGACATGTATCCCAGGCTTGACGGGTTAATCCGTCAATTTTTTTTCTATTTAGTTATCAAACTTTCATGACGCGAATCCCAAGTTTGATGGGTTAATTTGGTTTGAAGGATTAACCCAGTTAATTTAGATTTTTTTTTCTTCATTAGTTTTTTTCTTCCTGTTGGTTTTTTTTCTTTGTTTTTTTAATTAATCTATTTAATTATCACACTTTTATGACATGACCTTGCAACCAGACCCACATTCAAGACTCTTGAGTTCGGTGTTGTAGCCAGACTCACTTAAACTTGAGTTATATAAGTTTAATATTATTATTAATATTATAAATATTACTCTTGGGTCAAG